TTGGAATGCCCCCCAGAATGCGGAGCCCTCACGGAGAAGTCAGAGACCAACGTATGACCCTCAGTTTCCGAAACTGACGAGAAGAAACTTTCAGACTTTCTGGCTGGGAACGACAGCGATGACGATCGCTAGGTCTCCTGGTCAGCGACCGGTCACAGACCAGTGACAGTTTCCGCTTCAACATGGAGGATGCAGGACTCGGGACGAACTGCGAGCAGAGCCTTATCCAACTTCCTGGAAGCAACGTCCTTTTTATTGTTCTACGGTGCTTTTGTTACTCTTCTTCTGAAAAAGGAGAAAAAGGATTCGTTCTCTTCTATGTCCGTATGACTGGGGCATTCGATCCTCTTTGTGACTGTGAAACAGATGGGGGTCGTTGATATTTGTTGTTCCTTCATACTGCCATTAGCTTAAACGATGAAAAGATGGTAGGTAATACTGCTACACCTACCATGATTCCAACCTGACCTTAGAGAAGACGTGAAAAAATGTCAAGGTCGTCCCAGCATGATGAATGATAAACCCCTTCAAATTCCATGCCTGCGCATGTAGTGGTCAGCGCCGCAGAGGGTAGAGGCGAGGCGGAGGAACTGAAAATCCCACCCACCCACAACGAGACGAGGCTTCTTTTTGGACCCAGATGGTCTGATACATTCCCATGCCATGTAGGAAACTTCCTCACAAGTTCAGAAGCCTAGGGGCTGGTCGAGAAATCGTTGCATGGTGTGTCAAACAGCACAACTCTTTGTCACTTAGATCTATCCCTTTGCTGAGCATTGTACCAGATTCATACAGATCAATCATTGTACCAGATTTCTATAGATCAATCATTATATCAAATTATACACAATCATCATCAATAATTGCATCAATCGCAAAGATCAATCACAATTCGTACTGATGAGCAGCTGAAGCAAAAATCTCACCATGGCCCTACTATAGTACTGGATGTTCAAGTTTGTTTAGTAAGAGTTTTACAGCGCTTGCAACTGCATAAGGCATAAGGTCATATTATTATAAACCTGTTTGGATATTCAAGTAGCCATTCTAATGAGATGTCCCAAGGACTAATGTTCATTTGTAACAAACATTTGTAATGTTCAAATATAAGAAAATATTCGTAAAGTTCAGGTGTAAGAAAAACTCATAATGTCCAGATGTAAGAATAATCTATGACATTCAGATATAAGAACAATTCATAATGTTCAGATATAAGAAACATTCAAAACTGCAGCAATATTTCTTTTTGACTTCTGCAGGGGAGGGGAAGGTCTTTTCCAGTACCAAATGTATACAAAGGATAAAGCCACCTCTGGCTAAGTTAATGACGAAGTTTGACATATCATAAAGGGTCATGAGGGCTTTGTTGTCACATTTTCACCATATCATACACCAGCACAGGGTTTAATGTTGAACAAAAGGGACTTAAAATCACACAGAATCTACGCCTTTTGTGTTTGCATTGTATGTGTATGTGGTTACTTACGTCCGTTTGTAGATTCTCAACTATGGACATACTTGAGGGCCACAAAGGGAGAAACGATCAAAGTTCACGTTTTCTGAAGTAGGCCTATAGAAAATCAAATTTTAAAGTTTGAACTCATTGTATTTTGATCGATTTCCCATTCAACTCCTTTCATAAATAATCTCAAATGCAAGGCTTTGCTTTGTTTGATTTGAACGTTTTTGAGAATAAACAATTTTTAAAAATTGGAAAAGAATGGTCAAACTGGAGAAAAAATGATGATATCTTCAATTTCATTATTTTTGTTTTTGTTTTTGTAAAGTGATTTACGGCGCTCGCAACTGCATAAGGTCATATGAGCGCGCGGGACACATAAAACTCTTTCAGTTGGTAGGAAATTTTGAATTTTGCCCGGGTGGTGGCCGAAGCCTATTCTAATCGATTTTAGACCTCCAAGGGATCTTTAACGTGCGCAACTTGCACACGGGCCATCCGAGATGTTTCGCCCTTGTCCGAGAAGGCTAGGTGTAGATCTTTCCTACTAGAAGATCAGGGGTGTGGCAGAAAGACAGCAGTAAGGAGGAGCCATGGAGTAGCAGTAGAAAGAGTCAGGAGCCCAGAGTAGGGGACAAAGGAGGTGAGGGGGTGGGGGCAGAAAGTGGAAATGAAAGCAGATAACAGAACATTGCTAGAGAGCAGGAAAGGAGGTGAAAGGAGACAATTTTATAGAAGAAAATTTTTTGGTCGCTACCCGGGACCTTTGAATGAGAGGCCAACACCTTAACCTCTTGGCCATGAGAGCCCCCCTAATTTCATTATTTTGACCAACACCTGATTTCACCACGATACCTCGCATATAGAAAAACACTCAGGGAGGAAGTGGTCATTTGTACAGGGGATTGTCTTGGACAGGTGATTGTAAACTAGGTTCAATTGTGTGTAGGCCTATACATGCTAAAGGTAATAAATTAGTTTGATAATTTTTACCCATTGTGGTCTTCTAGTACGGGCTGTGTTTGTGGTCTTGAAGTACTGTGTGTGTGTGTGTGTTTATGTGTGTGTGTGTGTGTGTTTATGTGTGTGTGTGTGGAAGCCATTAGCCTCAATTCTCCGAGTCCTTGACCAGATGTCCAACGGTCAAGACAGAACACTTTATCGACCAACAGGAGGAGGAAATGAATCGTCATAAGGCGCCTATTCTCAGGCTGTCAATGCTATAACCGCTACAAGCAGGAGAAGTGTTGCAAAGACAAATTCCCTTCTATCACGTGTATTATATTGCTCATGCTGATGAACATTATGCATCCAGCTCACGTCTCTGAAGTCAGTTAATTTATTATGTCTGTTGTTGTTATTGTGTGCTTATTTCATGAAGAAATGTGTGACTGATGAGTTCCAGGTATATCTTCATGTTGTGCTAGCTTTCATTTAACAGAATGTGTGGATTTATAGTATTTACGAGATTAATTAAGTTGGTTTGTTTGAAGAGAAGTGTTTGAGAAATGTGTGAATTGACCATAATGGATCACAAAGAATTCAACAGTGTTTTGTTGAAGAGCTAAAAACGTATGTGTTTCTGATGAGATACAAAGCTAGACAACCATAAACACAAGTTTTATCCTACCTTTTTCCAGACGATCTTATTTTTTAATTAGAATCATCACTGGATATCCTTTATCCTGTCAAAAATGTGCTTTTTACTATCTTTTTTTGTTTAGCATGCATCAATAACCTGAAGGTGACACAAAAATTTGAGCTTTTTTAAGATTTTAGAAGTGAGTGCTGGCTTTAAAAAATGGACAAGCTCTGCACTTTATGGTGAATTAGAAGGTGAAATTACTGGAATATCATAGTGCTATAGGCTATTTATTGGTAAAAGTAAAGTATAGTCCCACATTTAGAACCGTTGGGGTCACAGTGGGGTTGGTGCTCCGTCTTGCAGGAACAGGAAACAGTGAGCGGTGATGTTTGGGATGTGCGATGTTATGGTTGTTTGTTTTATTGTGATGTGTGAAGTCATGGTCATTTGTTATATTGTGATGTCTGAAGTCATGGTCGTTTGTTATAATATTGGGATGTGCGAAGTCATGGTCGTTTGTTATATTGTGATGTGTGAAGACATGGGGGGCTTATACTTTACTTTTACCCATAATTCCATGGGTTCTTGTCAGATGAGTTGCTGTAAAGATTGTTGTCATCCACGTGGTGTCATGTGATGTGATTGTGCTTCTATTGATCAATTCAGTATTTGTGAGGCATTGTGGTGAAATCAGGCGCTCGTCAAAATAATGAAACCGAAACACCCCCCCCCCCAATCATTTTTCTGCTCTTTGGGTATTTTTCTTTAACTTAAAACGTTTTTTTAGTTCAATGCCTCTAACGTCTATTTAAAAACACATTTCTGTGTCGATTTCACAGAAAAATATTGGTTAAGGTACAAAAAAGAAAGTAAATTTACTGATTCCGCAAGCTTTGGAGATCACCAGACTTAGGAGGCTATTTTTTTCTTGCTGATTTTGCCTGCGACACCAGAACCTCCTATCTCCTTCTATCACAAATATCTAGAATTCTATTCAAAATAGATTAGTATTTTTTCCCCAATAAAAGAAGGCAAATAAACAGGATTTTAGATTTGCCTAAAAATTCAACATGCACCAAAATAGCCGAGCGCCTGATTCCACCGCGCCATGACACATCTGTCTTGTGGGGAAAGTGTTGTGGAGGAAAGTTTGTCCAGTACACGTACCACTGTTCCTTCTTGTGACATATTACTATTATTATTGTTATTGTTATTATTATTATAATTATTATGCATTGTGTTATGATATTCTGAGCGTACCGTAGAGATATATGCATTTAGCCATACGTTATTTCATCAGAACAGGGAGATCTGTATGTCTGCTTATCGAGCTATGAGTATGGGTTCTTTTTTGAGGGGGGATAGACCTACCGGACCACTCATTTTCAAATTGAATATTGTCATTTCATTTCATTTCACTGTTAGAGAACATTTTAAATGCATTTTTTATTGGCAGACAAAGGGTTTTCTCATTATAACCAGCACAGAAGTCTATGTTTCAGCTAAATTTGATCCCTTCCCTCCCTTCCTCCCACCCCTGAAACATTTTAGAATAAAAGGAATCAAATTAAAAAGGGAGGATTTTAAAGAAAAAAAAGATCTTTATATGAGGTCCCAAAGTTCTAGTCACATTTCATTTGTTTGCTCTGCTTCAAGCGGAGGATATAATTTATTTTACTGCGAGTGAATGGAGGTGGTATCAATTAGTTAATGGAGGAATAATTCTGCAGACACGTCTGGCAGCAAGGACCTCTGTACAAGCTTTGTGTGTGACCAGACAGAGTGAGAGAGAGAGAATGATTTTTTTTTCTGTCTGACTCTACATACAGTTCAGGGGAGATCACAGATACCAATCGGCTACACTCAGGCATAGATTCTTGTATCTGCCCCTGGCTTTGAAACTCATTTTTTTTCCTTGAACTTTTATTTCCAACTAATGATTGTATTTACTTAAATTCTGCAGTGCTTATTTAAAATGAATTGTGAAAATTTAAACAGGTAATTTAAATTTGGGATATGATGATGTTTGTAGGGAGATACATATGTCAGTGGAAACGAGAAAAAATTAAAGTTATGGCTCAAATTGTTATTGATATCAAATACTAGGCTCTGTGGTCTGCTTTCTAAAGTAGTGTATTGTCATAGACTCCCTGAGTTCGATTGATCAGTCGATTTGTTTCTTCAGTTTGAAAGTGTCGGTGATCATCTGCGATGCACAAGGTGAAGAACTCTACACTCCAAGTTTTTACATCTGGTATTATATTTTAAGACTTGGCTATGGGGAGAAAAGGCAGAAGTCTTAGTATAGAAAGAATATTTTGGATGATCGTTAGACAAGAGTCATAGAAAGAACATTTTGGACGATCGTTAGACAAGAGTCATAGAAAGAACATTTTGGACGATCGTTAGACAAGAGTCATAGAAAGAACATTTTGGACGATCGTTAG